CAGATGGGTGGGTGCTGCACACTGCTTGACGTGTTCCTGTGACAGCCCCAGAAAGGGTCTTTACGTCTGCACCACCACCCAGCTGTGGTGACGCAGGAGCAGCCCAAACCACTTCTATTTTGCTATTTTGGTTTTGAAATGCAGTCAGAACCACAGAGAGCCAGAGGTGTGCATTTGCAGGCCTGGGACTTAGGCGCCCTCACTTGCTCGCTCCCTCCTGTGGCTCCCACACTCCCACACAGTGTCCAGGGGCCATGTGCTCACTCTCAGAGGCTCTGCTTTCAGCCTAAGGAGGACTGGCCCTGGGAACCAGGGATTCTTCGGCAGCCTCCTGGTTCAAGGGAGTGGACTTTGGTGCAGTGATGGAGCGGGGTGGGGGGAATTCACCACTGGTTACTAAGGGTTTCCAGGCGCCTCAATTTCTTGAGCCTGTGTGTACCTCCCTGGCCCCCTACTCGCTGGCAAGACAGTGCCCAGGGCTCTGGGCCATTGAATAGGCATCCCAATGTGTCTCTGAGGACACCGGAGCAGGGAGCCCCTGGTGTGGGCCCCTCTGGTCTCCAGCAGGGCGGGCCTTCTGTGGTGGTGGCCTCTTTGGTTTCAGGTTCCTGGGAGAGGGAGGTTATTTTGAGGGACTTGGGGAGGTGGTTCACTCCTCTGCTGGGGAGAGTGAGTGAGCATGCAAATGAGCCTCTCTCCACCTCTCACTTTCAAATCCTCAAACATCTGAGCGGGGAGGAACAAAACTTTCTGGACTGGAAGGTTCCATGGTGGTGCGGGGAGAGTTAGCCTCAGCCAACAGAGTAGGACAAATGGGAGAGCTAGTTGACCCCCTACACCTCTTACCCTCAGCTTCAAGCTCGAGCTTAGCAGGAGACAGTAGGATCAGCTGTGGACGCTGGGCGCAGCCTCCCAATCCTCACAGTCCTGGACCAGTGGTGTCTGCACCAACCAAGTCCTTATTTAATTCAGAGACTTAGACATGTGGACACTTAAAGAAGACACTTGGACTCATTTCTTCCTTTTATTTCAAACCTCTTCTCCTGCTGCTGCCTCCCCTCTCCCACCACCTCCCTAGAAGAGTGGACCTTGGGGCCTCACCCCAAGGACGCATGGGCCACATACATATTCTGCAGGCGCTCTCTCCCTGGAAAGCAGAGGCAGTGGCGGCAGCAGCCCCCCCCATCTTCACCACAGCCTCTTTGAGCTGGCAGGAGCTGGGAGGAAACTGATGACTGAGCTCGCTGTCTCAATGGCCTGACCAGAGCAGCCCTTTGACACACAGAGGCTCTCACACACGTCCCCACACTTGGGACACATGGGCATGCCCTGCACGCGTATGTCTACCATGTGCTTGCACACACACAGCGAAATCCCATTGTAAAGTACAATGCAAAAATATGCAGATATTATGTACACAGAGTGCACCACACATTCCTCTCATTCTCGTATAAGCCAGAGGACATGACACCCGCCCCATACCCAGTGTACACATAGATAGACTTATGGCCCAGAAAACACACCTCACTTGTACGGAATGACCAGTACCATTCATTCATTCATTCATTCATTTGTTCTGCAAACACGAATTGAGTGTCTGCTACATGCCAAACATAGTGCAAGAGTGCCAGTTTCATCAATGACCAACACAGATGTCCCTGCCCTCAAGGAAGCCAGTGTCTAATGGGGGAGGTAAGGAAGGTGCCTTGAGGTTCCACCGGCTGGGGTAAGGGGCAGTGAGCTCCCAAACATGAAATACTCATCTGTGAAGAGAAGCCCAAGAGATGAGCAGACCCAAAGGCCCACGATGGGAAGGCCCAGGCCCTTGGCAGGCGAGGAAGCAGACACAGGAGTTTCAGAAGTTTCGTGTTTAGACAAAGTGGGATTAGGTGAAAGTGATAGCCTTTCGTTTGATTAGCTGGAGAATGCTTCCTGGGGGGCAGACAGCAGGCCTGTGGGAGGGCTGGAGCTGCGGAATGTGGGCCTTGGGTGCTTTGACTGGGGGAGACAGACCTTCCAAGCATAAATGGCCCTGGGAGGCCTCTCAGGCCACAGGAGACCGGGTCACATGCGG